TTTAACCCTTTTGTTTTCCAAATTTTTCCCTTAAAAAAATTTTATATATATGTTAGGTACACAACCAGGACTTTCGTCAAGTAGATCGTCGAGACGCCGATGATAGCGTGCCGAGTGGTGTTGGACGCACAATGGACGCAGTTGGACGCACGCTCGATGTAGTTGGACGCACATTGGACGCAGTTGGACGCCCATTGGTCACATACATGTGGAGGCCTGGTCGAGGACCGGGCCGCGGGGACGCTAAGCCACGAAATCATAGCTCGTGGCCCGGTGAATGTGTGCGTGCGAGGCTTTTAAAGTAGTGGGTGTTGTATATGTGTTTGTGTGTTGAATGTGGTGTCTATCGAGTGCAGGTGTATTTTGAGTGCAGGTGTATATTGAGTGCAGGTGTATATTGAGTGCTGGTGTATATTGAGTGCAGGTGTATATTGAGTGCAGGTGTATATTGAGTGCAGGTGTATATTGAGTGCTGGTGTATATGAGTGCAGGTGTATATTGAGTGCAGGTGTATATTGAGTGCAGGTGTATATTGAGTGCTGGTGTATATTGAGTGCAGGTGTATATTGAGTGCAGGTGTATATTGAGTGCAGGTGTATATTGAGTGCTGGTGTATATTGAGTGCAGGTGTATATTGAGTGCAGGTGTATATTGAGTGCAGGTGTATATTGAGTGCAGGTGTATATTGAGTGCAGGTGTATATTGAGTGCAGATTTGAGGTGTATGTTGAGAGCGCGTGGGTTGAGTCCTTGTGTGTGTTGAGTGTGGCGTTATGTAAAAAAAAATTATCTAAAACTTAAAATCTAATCAATTTACAATTGTAAATTGTATCGATTTACCCCCTGTGTGTTAACTAGCTTGACTGAATGAGTAGGTCTACTCCTATAGGCCTACATTGTCTCCAATGTAGGAGAATACACTGGAGACATTCAATACTCCGCCTGAATATCCCCTAGACAAAAAGAATGTAATTTGCATATCAAATCACAAAATCTTTCATATCAAATCAAATCACAAAGTGAGAGGGTTGTTATTGTTTAAGATTCGCTGCCTGGAACAAAAAGTTCCAAGTAGCACGGGCTATGGTGAGCCCGTAGTTGACTTTCCTCAAGTGAGAGGGATCCCATAGTGTGATCCCACGCTCCCACAAAGTAAGAGGGCACACCAAGTGAGAAATGGTGTGTCAAGAATGTGAGAGGGTATACTCAGAGTGAGAGGGGAGGAGGGGGGGGGGGCTACAGTCTGTTTTTTTTATCTGCATATTTTATGTGTTAAAGATAAGTGTTGATGCGGGAACCGTGAATCTCTCTCTGTGGTGGGGTCAAGAATGCATACACAGCATTTACGAGTGCTGTGTATGACTCGTGTATATAAGGAGTGCCGGACCAGCCGGGCTGTGGTGGGTATGTGGGTCTGCGGGCCGCTCCAAGCAACAGCCTGGTGGACCAAACTCTCACAATTCAAGCCTGGCCTCGGGCCGGGCTTGGGTGAGTAGAAGAACTCCCAGAACCCCATCAACCAGGTACAAGCTCCGCTGAATAGTTCCAGCTGACGGAGGTCAAGCAGGAGGTCAACGGAGATCAAGCAGGAGGTCACCGCAGGTCAAGCAGGAGGTCACCGGTCAAGCAGGAGGTCAACGCAGGTCGGCACTAAACACTACGCTCCGACCCGACCACCGGCTTCGGAGAGCATTCGGAGGGACAAACGTCGGGTTTCCGGCTCTTGAAATATTGTACGATTTTTGCTGTATTGGGGACCAGTAAACACGGCCGGTGTGTGTGTCGGGCCGCTCTAGTAGAAGGGGTGGATCCAGGAGAGGTGCTGCTGCTAGGTGATCTGGGCTGGTGGATCTGGGAGGTGGTTGGTGGATCTGAGAGGTGGCTGGTGGGTCTGGGAGGTGGCCGGTGGGTCTGGGAGGTGGCTGGTGGATCTGGGAGGTGGCTGGTGGATCTGAGAGGTGGCTGGTGGATCTGGGAGGTGGCTGGTGGATCTGGGAGGTGGCTGGTGGGTCTGGGAGGTGGCTGGTGGGTCTGCGAGGTGGCTGGTGGATCTGGGAGGTGGCTGGTGGATCTGGGAGGTGGCTGGTGGATCTGAGAGGATGCTGGTGGATCTGGGAGGTGGCTGGTGGATCTGGGAGGTGGCTGGTAGGTCTGGGAGGTGGTTGGTGGATCTGGGAGGTGGCTGATGGATCTGGGAGGTGGCTGGTGGGTCTGGGAGGTGGCTGGTGGATCTGGGAGGTGGCTGGTGGGTCTGCGAGGTGGCTGGTGGATCTGGGAGGTGGCTGGTGGATCTGAGAGGTGGCTGGTGGATCTGAGAGGTGGCTGGTGGATCTGGGAGGTGGCTGGTGGATCTGAGAGGATGCTGGTGGATCTGGGAGGTGGCTGGTGGATCTGAGAGGTGGCTGGTAGGTCTGGAAGGTGGTTGGTGGATCTGGGAGGTTGCTGGTGGATCTGGGAGGTGGTTGGTGGATCTGGGAGGTGGCTGGTGGATCTGAGAGGTGGCTGGTGGATCTGAGAGGTGGCTGGTGGATCTGAGAGGTGGCTGGTAGGTCTGGGAGTTGGTTGGTGGATCTGGGAGGTGGCTGGTGGATCTGGGAGGTGGTTGGTGGATCTGGGAGGTGGCTGGTGGATCTGAGAGGTGGCTGGTGGATCTTAGAGGTAGCTGGTAGGTCTGGGAGGTGGTTGGTGGATCTGGGAGGTGGCTGGTGGATCTGGGAGGTGGCTGGTGGATCTGGGAGGTGGCTGGTGGATCTGAGAGGTGGCTGGTGGATCTGAGAGGTGGCTGGTGGATCTGGGAGGTGGCTGGTTGGTATGGGAGGTGGTTGGTGGATCTGGGAGGTGGCTGATGGATCTGGGAGGTGGCTGGTGGGTCTGGGAGGTGGCTGGTGGATCTGGGAGGTGGCTGGTAGGTCTGGGAGGTGGTTGGTGGATCTGGGAGGTGGCTGATGGATCTGGGAGGTGGCTGGTGGGTCTGGGAGGTGGCTGGTGGATCTGGGAGGTGGCTGGTAGGTCTGGGAGGTGGTTGGTGGATCTGGGAGGTGGCTGATGGATCTGGGAGGTGGCTGGTGGGTCTGGGAGGTGGCTGGTGGATCTGGGAGGAGGCTGGTGGATCTGGGAGGTGGCTGGTGGATCTGGGAGGTGGCTGGTGGATCTGGGAGGTGGCTGGTGGATCTGGGAGGTGGCTGGTGGGTCTGGGAGGTGATTGGTGGATCTGGGAGGTGGCTGGTGGATCTGGGAGGATGCTGGTGGATCTGAGAGGTGGCTGGTGGATCTGGGAGGTGGCTGGTGGATCTGGGAGGTGGCTGGTGGATCTGAGAGGTGGCTGGTGGATCTGAGAGGTGGCTGGTGGATCTGGGAGGTGGCTGGTGGATCTGGGAGGATGCTGGTGGATCTGGGAGGTGGCTGGTGGATCTGGGAGGTGGCTGGTGGGTCTGGGAGGTGGCTGATGGGTCTGGGAGGTGGCTGGTGGATCTGAGAGGTGGCTGGTGGATCTGGGAGGTGGCTGGTAGGTCTGGGAGGTGATTGGTGGATCTGGGAGGTGGCTGATGGATCTGGGAGGTGGCTGGTGGGTCTGGGAGGTGGCTGGTGGATCTGGGAGGTGGCTGGTGGATCTGGGAGGTGGCTGGTAGATCTGAGAGGTGGCTGGTGGATCTGAGAGGTGGCTGGTGGATCTGGGAGGTGGCTGGTGGATCTGGGAGGTGGCTGGTGGATCTGGGAGGTGGCTGCTGGATCTGGGAGGTGGCTGGTTGGTCTGGGAGGTGGCTGGTGGGTCTGGGAGGTGGCTGGTGGATCTGGGAGGTGGCTGCTGGATCTGGGAGGTGGCTGGTGGATCTGGGAGGTGGCTGGTGGATCTGGGAGGTGGCTGGTAGAGGCTCGTTCGATGCTCACTAGTTCAAGTGGTTGGGCACTGTTTCTTCACCCTTTATTCATATCTCACCTATTAACTTTTCCTAAAAAAAGGGGGAATGATAACTATAGATGGTTCTTGGGGGGGGGGGAGGTCACTGCCGCCTAAATCTGTGATGTCTGGTGAGATTTGACGCTCTGATCATCGAGACTGTTGGGGCTGGCAGCATGCAGCCCGCCAAAGTATTGGAACATGAGCGAGTCTACAGTGGTAGTCAAACATGATTAATTGAAGCACATTTGTGAAGCTCTTCATTGTATTTCACGAAGGTCTTTGTTGTATTCCGCGAAAATCCTTACTGTATTCCGTGAAACTCCTTACTGTATTCCGCGAAGGTCCTTGTTGTATATCGTAAAGATTTCCTTTATAACTAACGGAAGGAAATCTTAAAATCATGTGCATCTAAGACGTGTAGTTAATCCTTAATATACTGACTCAGTTTACATAGTTGATTCGTAAACTATGGGACCGGACTAGCGAAGTATTCAACCAGGGAAACCACGACGTGCTGTAACAGCCCCGGGTACAGTAGTTTGTGCAGAGGAGCTCTGTAACAGCCCCGGGTACAGTAGTTTGTGCAGAGGAGCTCTGTAATCACTTCCCTATAGTCCAGTGTAGGCTGAGAGGTACGGCATAGAAAACGGAATTTAAAAAAAAGACAAAAAAATTAACACTTTGGGTTGACGGGTGACTAAAGAAGATGTGTCGTTGGGATGTGTGATGATGATGACTAACTTATGGTGATCAGCACCATCACTCATCACCATCAGAGAGAGAGACAGCCGGAGGGACAGGCAGACAGGTAGCTTAGCAGACTTACAATTCGATCCCACTGGATTCACTCACCATTAACTTCAAGTTCTAATATTCATAAAAAAACAATACTTGAAAAGCTGGTAAGTTAATGGACCTCCATTATCACATGTGCTTGATGTACTTGTGTAAGCACAAGTAAATAGGCCTGACTAACTCACTATCTATTACCTTAACAGCCAACTGGAAGTTAACCAAGGACCGTAACAGCCTTGTTAAACACACATGATAAGCTCCTGGATCCCATATTATTGACAGATGTTCCTCGTCTCGTTACAGATGATGGCGTCGTGAGGCTGGTGGAGGGAACACCTCCCCCCCCTACCACACACCTGTAGGACACTGGCCTACACACCTGCATGAAGAAGTCCAAGGGCATCAGATCAACCATGAGCTACTTCAGCGACTCCGGCAGATACCCAGAAGAGGAACGACGCCCCGATCCCCCATACCTGCAACAGCAGTACCCACCGAACTACAATTACCTCCCTGACTATCATAACTACCCCACGGCCACTAGGGACTACCCGATGCGTGGGGCGAACAGGGACTACCAGAGCACCAGGGACTATCTGAACGGACCTGTGGACTACCCTAGTAGTGGAGGCTACCAGGGCGGGCAACACAGCTACCAGAACGGACCGAGGGACTACCAGAGCTTGGTCAAAGACTACCAGCACGACCCCCCGCCCTACCACAGTACCATGGGGGATAGCAGCGAGAATAGCCCCAGGGGGCACAACACCGGGCCTAGGGACTACCAGAGTGGCGCTAGGGACTATCCCGACGGTGCAAGAGACTATCCCGACGGGGCTAGAGACTATTCGACGGGACCTCGCGACTACCGGCGCGGGGAGCGCGAAGTACCGGACCAACAGCGGTACGGTACCAGTCCCAGACACCGGTATCGCAACGCCGACGATTATCACTACGATTACCGCGGGGGCTACCGCCCCTCGGTGGATTCCGACCCCCGCGACGGCTACACGACCGACGGGAGCGGCTCCGGCTACCGGGAAGGAAGCGTAAGGGGCTACGAGAACTACCGGTACCCAGAGAACGAAGCCCTTCTACCAAGGGATAGGCTCCAGTACCCATTCTCTCACCAGGCCAACGGTACGACCTACACTAAAGGTGAGGACGACCTCTCTATCCCAACTATTAACTATTATGCTAATAATTCCCATGCTATTAACATACCATTATTCTTTCTTCATTAATCTTACAGAAAATATGAACTATAAAAATCCCACAAAATAATGGAGTGTGAATACTTTGTTTTAAATTTAAATAGAACAAAATACACAAATTTTAATACGATCGGAAGATAAAAATAATTTTAAATCACCAAAATACATCTTAATTTTCCGTAAGTCTTTTGAATTAACCAAAAAATATATTGTAATATATAGTATTATTTAGCAGAAACAAACAAAAATAAAACTCCATTGTAACATTTATCTCTCTAAATAATATTAAATCACAATGGGATTATTTACGGCTCAAAGCCTTCAACTCGAAACAGGTATTAAAAAAATACATATATTTATGGTAAGGGGGGGGGGAGGGGAATGAATTACCACTGTGTGTAGCAGCCGGGTTGAAATTTATTCCTAGGGGGGGGGGGGGTCTACAGTGCTGGACTACTGTATTTTTTGTTGTATTCAAAATTGGGTGTTGTATCACGTTTCAGAAATTTATAGTTGTGTGTGTTTTAAAATGTTACTTCATGACAAAAGTGTTTGTATACAAAACTGCATTGCAAGGTCTAGATATCCTGGGCTGGGGTTGCAACCGGAACCTGATATCCTGGGCTGGGGTTGCAACCGGAACCTGATATCCTGGGCTGGGGTTGCAACCGGAACCTGATATCCTGGGCTGGGGTTGCAACCGGAACCTGATATCCTGGGCTGGGGTTGCAACCGGAACCTGATATCCTGGGCTGGGGTTGCAACCGGAACCTGATATCCTGGTGCTTGGGTTGCAACCGGAACCTGATATCCTGGGCTGGGGTTGCAACGAGAACCAGATATCCTGGGCTGGGGTTGCAACGAGAACCAGATATCCTGGGCTGGGGTTACAACCAGATATCCTGGGCTGGGGTTACAACCAGAACCAGATATCCTGGGCTATGGATGCATCCGAAACCAGATATCCTGGGCTGGGGTTGCAACCAGAACCAGATATCCTGGGCTGGGGTTGCAACCGGAACCTGATATCCTGGGCTAGGGTTACAACCAGAACCAGATATCCTGGGCTGGGGTTACAACCAGAACCAGATATCCAGGGCTGAGGTTGCAACCGGAACCTGATATCCTGGGCTGGGGTTGCAACCAAAACCAGATATCCTGGGCTGGGGTTACAACCAAAACCTGATATCCTGGGCTGGGGTTGCAACCAAAACCTGATATCCTGGGCTGGGGTTGCAACCAAAACCAGATATCCTGGGCTGGGGTTACAACCAGAACCTGATATCCTGGGCTGGGGTTACAACCAGAACCAGATATCCAGGGCTGAGGTTGCAACCGGAACCTGATATCCTGGGCTGGGGTTGCAACCGGAACCAGATATCCTGGGCTGGGGTTACAACCAGAACCAGATATCCTGAAATTACAAAATGATGTGAACACTTTGTTCCCAGATAATTACATTAATGGAGAACAACCATTTGGAAAAAAATGGAGAAATTAGAACTGGACCCAATATACCAGTTAGTTATAAACCATCCCATATAACCGCAGGGAAACGAACACATAACCTCCCTATCAACTCTAAGATAGGTCAAGAGTGCAAGAAGGTCAAGAGTGCAGGAAGGTCAAGAGTACAGGAAGGTCAAGAGTGCGGGAAGGTCAAGAGTGCGGGAAGGTCAAGAGTGCAAGAAGGTCAAGAGTGCAGGAAGGTCAAGAGTACAGGAAGGTCAAGAGTGCGGGAAGGTCAAGAGTGCGGGAAGGTCAAGAGTGCAAGAAGGTCAAGAGTGCAGGAAGGTCAAGAGTGCAGGAAGGTCAAGAGTGCAGGAAGGTCAAGAGTACAGGAAGGTCAAGAGTGCAAGAAGGTCAAGAGTGCAGGAAGGTCAAGAGTACAGGAAGGTCAAGAGTGCGGGAAGGTCAAGAGTGCGGGAAGGTCAAGAGTGCAAGAAGGTCAAGAGTGCAGGAAGGTCAAGAGTGCAGGAAGGTCAAGAGTACAGGAAGGTCAAGAGTGCGGGAAGGTCAAGAGTGCGGGAAGGTCAAGAGTGCAAGAAGGTCAAGAGTGCAGGAAGGTCAAGAGTGCAGGAAGGTCAAGAGTGCAGGAAGGTCAAGAGTACAGGAAGGTCAAGAGTACAGGAAGGTCAAGAGTGCGGGAAGGTCAAGAGTGCGGGAAGGTCAAGAGTGCAAGAAGGTCAAGAGTGCAGGAAGGTCAAGAGTGCAGGAAGGTCAAGAGTACAGGAAGGTCAAGAGTGCGGGAAGGTCAAGAGTGCGGGAAGGTCAAGAGTGCAAGAAGGTCAAGAGTGCAGGAAGGTCAAGAGTACAGGAAGGTCAAGAGTGCGGGAAGGTCAAGAGTGCGGGAAGGTCAAGAGTACAGGAAGGTCAAGAGTGCAGGAAGGTCAAGAGTGCAGGAAGGTCAAGAGTACAGGAAGGTCAAGAGTGCGGGAAGGTCAAGAGTGCGGGAAGGTCAAGAGGTCGGGAAGGTCAAGAGTACAGGAAGGTCAAGAGTACAGGAAGGTCAAGAGTGTAGGAAGCTCAAGAGTGCAGGAAGGTCAAGAGTGCGGGAAGGTCAAGAGTGCGGGAAGGTCAAGAGTACGGGAAGGTCAATAGTACAGGTAGGTCAAGAGTGCGGGAAGGTCAAGAGTGCAGGAAGGTCAAGAGTGCGGGAAGGTCAAGAGTGTGGGAAGGTCAAGAGTGCGGGAAGGTCAAGAGTGCGGGAAGGTCAAGAGTACGGGAAGGTCAAGAGTACAGGAAGGTCAAGAGTGCGGGAAGGTCAAGAGTGCGGAAGGTCAAGAGTGCGGGAAGGTCAAGAGTACAGGAAGGTCAAGAGTGCGGGAAGGTCAAGAGTGCGGGAAGGTCAAGAGTGCGGGAAGGTCAAGAGTGCAGGAAGGTCAAGAGTGCGGGAAGGTCAAGAGTGCGGGAAGGTCAAGAGTGCGGGAAGGTCAAGAGTGCGGGAAGGTCAAGAGTGCAGGAAGGTCAAGAGTGCGGGAAGGTCAAGAGTACAGGAAGGTCAAGAGTGCGGGAAGGTCAAGAGTACAGGAAGGTCAAGAGTACAGGAAGGTCAAGAGTACAGGAAGGTCAAGAGTACAGGAAGGTCAAGAGTGCGGGAAGGTCAAGAGTACAGGAAGGTCAAGAGTACAGGAAGGTCAATAGTACGGGAAGGTCAAGAGTGCGGGAAGGTCAAGAATACAGGAAGGTCAAGAGTACAGGAAGGTCAAGAGAACAGGAAGGTCAAGAGTGTGGGAAGGTCAAGAGTACAGGAAGGTCAAGAGTGTGGGAAGGTCAAGAGTACAGGAAGGTCAAGAGTACGAGAAGGTCAAGAGTGCGGGAAGGTCAAGAGTGTGGGAAGGTCAAGAGTACAGGAAGGTCAAGAGTACAGGAAGGTCAAGAGTACAGGAAGGTCAAGAGTGCGGGAAGGTCAAGAGTACAGGAAGGTCAAGAGTACAGGAAGGTCAAGAGTGTGGGAAGGTCAAGAGTACAGGAAGGTCAAGAGTACAGGAAGGTCAAGAGTACAGGAAGGTCAAGAGTGCGGGAAGGTCAAGAGTACAGGAAGGTCAAGAGTACAGGAAGGTCAAGAGTGCGGGAAGGTCAAGAGTACAGGAAGGTCAAGAGTACAGGAAGGTCAAGAGTACAGGAAGGTCAAGAGTACAGGAAGGTCAAGAGTGCGGGAAGGTCAAGAGTACAGGAAGGTCAAGAGTACAGGAAGGTCAAGAGTACGGGAAGGTCAAGAGTGCGGGAAGGTCAAGAGTACAGGAAGGTCAAGAGTACAGGAAGGTCAAGAGTGCGGGAAGGTCAAGAGTACAGGAAGGTCAAGAGTGCGGGAAGGTCAAGAGTACAGGAAGGTCAAGAGTGTGGGAAGGTCAAGAGTACAGGAAGGTCAAGAGTACGGGAAGGTCAAGAGTGCGGGAAGGTCAAGAGTACAGGAAGGTCAAGAGTGCGGGAAGGTCAAGAGTACAGGAAGGTCAAGAGTGTGGGAAGGTCAAGAGTACAGGAAGGTCAAGAGTACGGGAAGGTCAAGAGTGCGGGAAGGTCAAGAGTACAGGAAGGTCAAGAGTACAGGAAGGTCAAGAGTACAGGAAGGTCAAGAGTGTGGGAAGGTCGCTGTTAAAGGTGAGGGAGAACACTGGAGGTCCAACACCTGTGGACCACACCACCAGGTGTAATCATTGTTTATTGATTATCACACAGTCAAGGCTGCCCCCCCCCACCCCACCCCACAACTCTCCCCCCCCCACCCCACCCCACAACTCCCCCCCCCCCCCCCCCACCCCACCCCACAACTCCCCCCCCCCCACCCCCCCACAACTCCCCCCCCCCACCCCCCCACAACTCCCCACCCCACAACCCCCCCCCTCCCCACAACCCCTATCCTCCCTCTTCCAGTTCCTCCCCCTTCCTCCCCCTCTCCCACCGGCAAGATCCATCCCCCTTGATAGGCTGCTCCAGGTATTCCATCCTCTTTGATAGGGTATTCCGTCCTCTTTGATAGGGTATTCCATCCTCTTTGATAGGGTATTCCATCCTCTTTGATAGGGTATTCCGTCCTCTTTGATAGGGTATTCCATCCTCTTTGATAGGGTATTCCACCCTCTTTGATAGGGTATTCCACCCTCTTTGATAGGGTATTCCATCCTCTTTGATAGGGTATTCCATCCTCTTTGATAGGGTATTCCGTCCTCTTTGATAGGGTATTCCGTCCTCTTTGATAGGGTATTCCACCCTCTTTGATAGGGTATTCCATCCTCTTTGATAGGGTATTCCACCCTCTTTGATAGGGTATTCCATCCTCTTTGATAGGGTATTCCATCCTCTTTGATAGGGTATTCCACCCTCTTTGATAGGGTATTCCATCCTCTTTGATAGGGTATTCCACCCTCTTTGATAGGGTATTCCATCCTCTTTGATAGGGTATTCCACCCTCTTTGATAGGGTATTCCACCCTCTTTGATAGGGTATTCCACCCTCTTTGATAGGGTATTCCAACCCAATTAACGGGCTTCTCATCCTCTCTCTTTAAGCGGACACAGCTCTAAAGAGGG